ATATTAAAAAAATTAGTAAAAATCTTCGCAGGCAAATTTGTCTGTGTTACAATTTAAGAGATAAGATATGTAATGTTACACCACATGTAATTTTGTTCGATTTAAATTGAAGTTTGGATTTTGGGTTTGATAATAGTTTTTGAAAGATGGGTAAACGATGCTATACACAAAGTAATTTGAAAAGGTTTTATAAGTGGTATATTCCATTTGAGGAAGTTCCAAGAGAGGTTATTGAAGTTACTGAGGATACTTTTGAGAAAAAACTTCGAGAGCATTATTCTTATGAGTTTTACGGTATGGGCTTTACTGTAGGACAAAGATATAGTTTTAGTTATGGGTTTGGTATTTATAAAATTAAGTAAATATTGTATTAAGTAATAGAAATTGTATTTTATAGATTGCAAAGTGAAACAAGAGATTTAAGAAGAAGGTTGGAAGAATTAGAAGTTCATTTACAAGATATAAACCAAAGAATATTTGCTAACGCTCTTCAAAGAGAGCAAAAGAAGCATTATTTGATGGAAAAAAAGTCAAAGTATAAGTGTAGACTTAGAATAATAAACAAATTTTGTATAAAAGAAGGAAATAATGGAAATTAGAGAGATTGAGAATATTGTGTAGGGTAGAAAGTTTGTAAGATTTAGTTTTTTTGAATATATCAAGTCTTAGTAAAATTTGAGTGAAGTTTAAGTTGTTAATCAAATATATGATAGTGATAAAGTTGGTTGATATGTAAAAGATTTGTAAACTTTTGAAATTTTAATAAAATTTAAAATAAAGTAAATAATATTGTTAATAAAAGTAGCAGTATTTTGATGTAAAAAAGAAAAGAAAGTTTAAAAAGAAAGAAAGAGTAAATAAAAGATTTTATATATTTAAAAATTTGATAAATAAAGTTTAAGAAGAAAAAAAGAGTAAATCAGAGATTTCAGGTATTTGAAAATTTGGCTTAGATATTTGAAAATTTAACTTAGAGATTTCAGATATTTGAATATTTGATTTAGGAATTTTGAATATTTGAGAGTTTGACAAAAAAAGATCTGTATTGATTGTTGGAATTAGGAGTTTTTTGGAAATATATTTTATAGCTTGTGGGAAATAAGATTGATAATATTTAGAAAAAATTAAAGAGATTGGGTGAGAAGAAAATTGTATGATATTAAAATAAGTTATAATATTAGCGAAATGATAAGGGTTTGTAGAAATTGAAAAAGTATGTTGTAATGCATTTTTGAGATTAAAATTGGTTATATTATCATTTGTAGCAGCTTGCTTAAGAAATTGTTGAAAATAAGTATAAAAAAAAGAAGTTTCATGTTTAAAATTGGTTACAGTATTGTTAAGTTGTATAAATTGTTGTTCTGCTTAATGAGCTAGTTTTTAAGAGATTTGAAAGGAAATAGTTTAAAGAATGTGGCAGATAAAGGTTGATTTGGTTCAAAGCTAAAAAAATCTAGATCTGGGTTGGTAAATTTTAAAGTAGTTGGAAATTGTATAAAGGATTGTTTAAAGAAGAGAGATGTTAAATTATAAAAAGTGTATTCAGTATTGTTAGAAACAATATTGCAAGTAGAATTTTTACAAGTATATAAATGATATAGAGCAGCTTTAATAGATGTATTAGTACATTCTTGTAATGAATTAATTGATATAGGTTGGTAAGAGTCTGGAAGTAGTTGTTTAAGATTATTAGAAAGAAAGGTAATAGTTTGAAATTTAATGTGATTATAGACTTTTTGTTGATTGATATATGAATATTGTTTTTTATAAATATTATAGAATTTAGTAAACCAGGTATCAAGAGGTGTACAGTATGTTTTAAAAGAAGGAATACGAAATGTTTGAAGAAAATATTGTGGATCAATATTGAAGGTAATATAAATATTATATTTAGAATCATGTTTGATTTCAAGTGATATAGAGTTGGAATTATAGTAGGTAGTATCAAAATATAAACTAAGCCGAATAGGTTTAAGAGCAAGATCAAGATAAAATTAGGTATAGTTAATAGTTTATAAAGAAAGAGATATAAATAATCAAGATTAATTGCAATATGAGCATGTTGAGAAATAGAATGTGGAGGTAAGAAATAGTGTGAATGAAAGATTTTTTTATAGTTTAGACTTGTAAAGAGAACAGTAGTAAAGTTGGAAAGAATATTTTTAAAAGTAAAAAGTAATAATTCAGATGAAATATTGGGATTAAAAGAAGGTGTATTAGAGGTATTTGATAAATAATATTAAAAAGAAATTATGGTTTTTGTAAAATCATATTTTGTAATAGATTATTAAAGCTATTACAAATAGGTTGTTGAGGAATAGTAGAAGTATGAGTTGCATGTCTAGGGTAAAAGTTTTGAAGGAAAGGCTTAATAAAATTTAAAACATTAATTCCAAGAGAAGTTAGGAATTGTGTTAAATTTTGGGCTTCTGGATTAATTAGAAATGCTTGAAACTAGTTAAGCATGTCACTAGAAAGCTTATGGTGAGGAAATTTTTGTTGAACCATAGTTAGTTTAAAGTATCCCTTAAACCGTATATTTTAGTGTTCAAATTTGTATGCTAAAATGGTTAAAACAAAGTAGATCCAAAAAAAATTTTTTTTTTTATACAAAGCATAATTTAAATCAGTCACACTAACTTCTAAGAGCCCAGATTACTTACCAGATTCACAACTATGATGTATGTGTCATGTAATCTAAACAAAAAAGCACAAATTTGTACAGTAACCGTGAAATATATAGGCTATTTGCCTGAACTTTTAGAAGCCATCTTAGCCGATTTGGCTTAGAAAATTGTAAATCTGACAATTGTGGTACCTACATATTTACATTCTAGTAATACAGATCAGGTGTATCTGATTTTCGGGGTTATGAACAAATTAATTTATATAGAGTTTAAATAATTAAATTATTAAATAATGATGTAATAATCATAGCACAATAAAGTGGATCCATATTGTTTCACCAACAATCACTTCATAGACACCACATTTCAAAAACAATTATTTATTGACAAGTTCATTTTACTGATAGTCTATTTCACCGAAGCTCATTTCACTGACTAGTTTTTTTTTATAAATTACACTAACTTTAACTCTAATTCTAATCTAAATCTAATGATATTGACCAGAATTACTTTGTCTGTAAAATGAGCTTCGGTGAAATAAACTGTCAGTGAAATGAACTTGTCGGTAAGTAATTGTCATGAAATGTGGTGTCTACGAAGTGATTGTCTGTGAGTTAATGGGATTCCCAATAAAGTAATGGTTAAAATAAGAGACTACAAAGTTTTGTATTCTTTATTTATCTTATTTAATATTATGAAATTCCAAAAAGCAATTTTGGTCTATATTACAACAAAGTGGCTCGTTGCAACCAACACACCAAAGGTTACTTCAGTTTGGTGATTTACGGCTCATTTTAATTTTCTTTTGGTTTGTCAACCAAGAGTACTACTGACATGCTTCCTGATCTTTCCTCCATTCTACAATATGGTTTCCAGGTTCCAACTGACTATCGGAAAGCTTAAAATGCTTGGTTACTTTCGGCCTTTTTAGTTCTTTTTTTTTTTTTTTTTTCGTGCTATTCCTTAATTGAACTTTACTAGTATTATTAGCGAAGTTTACAAGAGCCCAAACAAGCTCAAGACAGAATTCTCTATATTCTTGTATTGATCTTAGGGTTCTGGCGATGCAGTAAGAGTTGATTATTGCAGTGTCTAGTAGCCAAAAAAAGAGTGGCACCCAGTTTCTTCATGTTGTTTTTTGGATGCTCTAATATGATTTTAGTTGGTCTGCTACATCTACACTGTTCATGTTATTATTATAATCATTAATTATTTTTGGAATTTTTGGATATTTTTTGAATTTGGATCCAAACACAGCACGAACCTAGTAAATATTATTAACTGAACAGAAAAAAAAAAAAAAAAAAAAAACCAAGACCTTAGATGCATTAGTGCTTGTTTCTCTTGGCCGTCGTCTTTCTCGCATTACTTCTCATTCTTCACCAACGAGGCTGTGGATTGTTGAAAGCATTGTGACAGGTCCGTTATCCTGCCAAAAAAAAGTTAAAACACCATTTATTACCACTCCAGAACAAACATCCCAGTCAAGTTTAACATTTTTATCCACTCTTAACTTTTTTGAAAATCTGGAGAAATTTTTTCGTACGGTTTTACAGGCACCAATTCCGATTTGTCGAAGATGTTGAAAAAGAGCAATGCTGGAAAAATAGTTATCTATAAATATATAGAAATTGCTGGTATGGTAGTTGCTCAGTAAGATGGAGAACCAGGTTTCCAATTTGACAAAGACTCTTAACTTTATTGATATTACTTGGTGAAATATACGACGTTGGTAAAAAAGTGTATGTATATCCTGCTTCACAAAGTGATAAGATCTTGAATCCCTCTGGTATTGGTTTGTTTTTTATTCGGACCATATGAATGTTTCTGCCAGAAAAATGAACCATCATTTCATCAATTGAGACTTTCGAACTTGGTGTGTAAAGACGTTTCGAAGTATCTCAAATATGGGAGAGCAATGGTTTCAATTTCTCAAAGTAATTACCAATCTCTTTGTAAGGAGGGGAGACGTGTAAAAACCTTTTAATTTGTTCAAAGCGAAACAATGAAATTTGCTTTGAAATATGATGAATGGGGAGCTTTGGGTTCTTGTTCTAGTACTGTTCAAGAGAGGGTAACTTAAAAAGTCCTTGATAAATAACCAGAGAAACCCAAATAATTAACTCTTTATGAGTTAAGTCCTGCCATGGCCTACTAGTAATACCTGTATTCTTGGTTACTGTGTATGAATTCGTATTAACAACCATTGTATCTAGTATGGTTGTAGTAAAAAAAAGAAAAAAAATGTCAATTGGCTTGACCACACCATCGTTAAGGTGGAATAGCAACCGAACAGACACATGGTGCAGTGGTCTTGAATGAATGAACAGCTCAAAATCTGATGGAGGTGGTGAAGCTCTTGTTGTACAATTTTTACTGATTTTTGTTTTTTTTGTAGGTTCTTTTAGTGTTTGCCTCCATGGTTTTTTCGTCGCCACTACTTTCTGAATCCAGATTGTCCAAGGAATGCTGGTGAAAGATTAAAAGTGGTTCGTACTCTTCTTCACTATCAGCATTTGAATCTACATCAAGATGAATTGAAATTGAAGATGATATTCTTGACTTGGACATAAAGGATGACTCAGCTACAGGTGTACTAGACATATTCAGTTCTTTTCTTTTTTTATTTTATTTTTTTTTATGTTTTTTTTATGTTTTTTTTTTAAAAAAGGTGTTTGTTATTTAAGTCTGTAAGTGATTAATCATATCTATTTGTCATTGGCTTAATGCAAATATTTTAGTTTAATTTTTAGTGGCCATAACATTTTTTTAGCTAGAAAATGAATTTTGATGTGCAAGAGAAGATGAATGATTATCAAGTTAACCAAATGCACATTTTTGGATTTATGTTGTATAATGATAGTAATAGAAGTAGAAGATACTATAAACGACGGGTGTAATCAGCATATGGCATGCTTCAATTCTAGCTTATAAACAGGGGGTCGAAGCTTAATAAAATTCTGTGCAATTAACCAAAAATAGGGCAAAAAAAATTTTAGCGTTCAAATTTTGATGCTATACGGTTTAAGGGATAAATACTAAAAGTAAAAGGAAAAAAGAAAAAAACTTAATAAAAGAATATAGATAGTTTGAAAAATAAATCTTGACGGCGTTTTTGATCACATAATCAGAATCAGATGATTTTAGATTCATTAGAAGCGTCTTGAAGAGGCCATCATTTTGGTAGTTAAATCGTCTAAATTGGTTAGATAGATTAAAAGTTATTTGATTTTAAAGATTTTGTATTGTTAATAGATATAATTGTTACTATATAAAATAGTATATAAATATAGAAAAATATATAAGTTATAAACATTCAATTTTTTGTAATTTTAGAGTGCAGATTGTATGAAAATCATGTGCAGAAAATTTGGGTATTGAGATAATAAGGTTAGTTAAAAAAAGGGTTATTATATAAATAATAAGCTTTTGTGTAATAATTAGCAAATTTGTATAAAATTGATTGTTAGAATGAAAAATATAAAGGAAAATTAATATTTTCATAATAGAAGGTTAATTTGGATTAATTTGGAAGTGATTGGATGTTATACAAAAATTGTATATAGTGAAAAGTGCAAAAAAAAGACAAAGAAAGTTGTAAGAAGTAAGTAAAAGAGAGTTAAAATAATTTAAAGAATAACTTTATTCTTAAAGACTAACTTCGTCAATTTTAAAGCTATAGAGATAAAATATAGCTTGTTATGATGAGAAAAGTGTGTAGAACAACTTTTGATAGATGTAGTGCAGAGATTTGGAATCAGGTTAAAGAGTAAATGGCAAACGTTTGAATTTTTTGCTTAAAAAAATGCTTTAGGACTTTACTCCACTAATATAAGAGCTATAGACTTGAAATTTAAGTATTATGTATATTTTTGTATTCCAAACAAGTTTACTTGGAAAGTAAAGTTAGGTTAGCATAATAAAATTTTGCATAAACAAATGTTTTTTGTTGGACGAATTTAAGTAAATTTTGTATTAGAGATTTGCAGAAAGAGTTATATTGGTAAATTTTGTAATACAAAATATGTAATCACTTGAATCGCTTAAAATAGCAAAATGTAAAATAAAGAATAAATGGTCTTTCAACTGGAAAAAGATTGAGTAATAAACGAATTGTTCAAATAAACACATACGTGTTGTCTGTATTGAAGTACGTCATTGAGAGAATGTGTATATTTCAAGAGCCAAGCGAACCTATTAAATAACATACTATCTGAGATAGATAGCAGTAACTATGGTGATTGCCTAACTCTTTGACAATAATCTCGAAGATTATAAGAAATTCTGAAATATTCCCATACACATAAAATTTAAAAAAATTAGAATTTGCACAAAGTTTTATAAAAATTTTGCCATAATAGGTGTTTTAAAATCTGTAAAAATTTGAACAAAGATAACTCAGCAACACTCAACCAAATTTGATGAATTTTTTTTAATTTTATTTTACAATAATGTAAATCGAAATAGAAAAATTTCGCAAAATGGCTTCAAAGTTAAAAACGTCTATTAAAATAATAGTTGCAGCAAAATTTTTATAAAGAGATAACTTGACAATCTACCAACTAATTCAATAAAATCTTTTTATTTCAATCTATCCCTTAAATTGTAACACAGGCAAATTTGCCTGCAAAGATTTTTACTAATTTTTTTAATATTTAAATTTTTTAA